TCAATTTTTCAATTTTCATGATCTTCCTGTATTGCAATGTTGACAATGAACATGATGAAAGAGTTTAGGTTAATTTGAATGACTTTCACTAATCCTTTATAGTTTATATTTTGTGACATCACTGTTTTAGTGAAAGTTTTATTTTAACTAAATTCTTTCTCAGATTGTGCAAACTTAGCTACTAGATTAAATTACAATTGAATATTGCACATTATCATTAAAATCTTAATTTAAAACTAAGCATGGATTGTAACTGATAAAGTAAATCTTTAACAGAAAGTAAATGGACATATTCATGTAAGATTTTTAACTTTCAAAATTCTAAAACTAAGCATTAATGTAAAGCAATGGGAGGTTAGTTTGGTTTCAGTCACCATTTTGTCATCCACAGTTACATCTGGGGATTTTCTAAAGGCCATGACCTAGATCTAAACAAATTCACAGATCCTGTGACGCCGTATATGGTATACGGCACGGCTTTTTTGACACAGGTTTCCAAAATCATATTCACACTTCCCTGCCGGTGGCCATAGACGTAGTGGTAATTGGAGGTAATCTGTAGTGTGAGCGATGCCCCAAGATATGGGTCCACATCGGCCTAGTAGACCTTAAAGTATCAGTCACATTATCAGTCAGGGGCATAACTTGAACAATTTATTTTCAAAAATAACTCAAATGAGTCTCAATGAATTACTTCTCTTTGCTATGACCTACTTCTTCCCAGCCTTAGTAACTCAAACACGTTATTTTTCCAAAAAAGCTTCAATAAAATAATAATTTGTTTAAGTTATTTTCTGTCATTCCTCCCTAACTTCAAACCCCCCTGCACCAAAGGATTTTGCTCGTGCACCAAGACAAAAACAGATGTTTGACTAAATTTAAACCTTGCTCAATGCAGGAAATTTTCAGCCTTCTAAACCCTTGTATCGATCCATTTCTTATAGTGTTGTTACCTGCTGTACCCATGTGTACCCTTTGTACCCACTGTACCCTGAGCATCCGCTACATTATTTTAAATTTTTACTTAGAAAATTTCAGCCTTTTAAACCCTTGTATCCATTTCTTACAGTGTTGTAACCTGCTGTACCCATGTGTACCCTTTGTACCCACTGTACCCTGAGCATCCGCTTCATTATTTTAAATTTTTACTTAGAAAATTTCAGCCTTTTAAACCCTTGTATCCATTTCTTACAGTGTTGTAACCTGCTGTACCCATGTGTACCCTTTGTACCCACTGTACCCTGAGCATCCGCTTCATTATTTTTAATTTTAACTTAGAAAATTTTAGCCTTCTAAATCCTTGTATCTATTTCTTATAGTGTTGTAACCTGCTGTACCCATGTGTACCCTTGTACCCACTGTACCCTGAGCATCGGCTACATTATTTTAAATTTTAACTTAGAAAATTTCAGCCTTCTAAACCCTTGTATCCATTTCTTATAGTGTTGTTACCTGCTGTACCCATGTGTACCCACTGTACCCTGAGCATCCGCTTAATTATTTTTAATTTTAACTTAGAAAATTTTAGCCTTCTAAATCCTTGTATCTATTTCTTATAGTGTTGTAACCTGCTGTACCCATGTGTACCCTTTGTACCCACTGTACCCTGAGCATCCGCTTAATTATTTTTTATTTTAACTTAGAAAATTTCTGCCTTCTAAACCCTTGTATCCATTTCTTATAGTGTTGTAACCTGCTGTACCCATGTGTACCCACTGTACCCTGAGCATCGGCTCCATTATTTTTAATTTTAACTTAGAAAATTTCAGCCTTCTAAACCCTTGTATCCATTTCTTACAGTGTTGTAACCTGCTGTACCCATGTGTACCCTTTGTACCCACTGTACCCTGAGCATCCGCTTCATTATTTTTAATTTTAACTTAGAAAATTTCAGCCTTCTAAACCCTTGTATCCATTTCTTATAGTGTTGTAACCTGCTGTACCCATGTGTACCCTTTGTACCCACTGTACCCTGAGCATCGGCTCCATTATTTTTAATTTTAACTTAGAAAATTTCAGCCTTCTAAACCCTTGTATCCATTTCTTACAGTGATGTAACCTGCTGTACCCATGTGTACCCTTTGTACCCACTGTACCCTGAGCATCCGCTTCATTATTTTTAATTTTAACTTAGAAAATTTTAGCCTTCTAAATCCTTGTATCCATTTCTTATAGTGTTGTAACCTGCTGTACCCATGTGTACCCTTTGTACCCACTGTACCCTGAGCATCGGCTCCATTATTTTTAATTTTAACTTAGAAAATTTCAGCCTTCTAAACCCTTGTATCCATTTCTTATAGTGTTGTAACCTGCTGTACCCATGTGTACCCTTTGTACCCACTGTACCCTGAGCATCCGCCTTATTATTTTTAATTTTAACTTAGAAAATTTCTGCCTTCTAAACCCTTGTATCCATTTCTGATAGTGTTGTAACCTGCTGTACCCATGTGTACCCTTTGTACCCACTGTACCCTGAGCATCGGCTACATTATTTTTAATTTTAACTTAGAAAATTTCAGCCTTCTAAACCCTTGTATCCATTTCTTACAGTGTTGTAACCTGCTGTACCCATGTGTACCCTTTGTACCCACTGTACCCTGAGCATCAGCTCCATTATTTTTAATTTTAACTTAGAAAATTTCAGCCTTCTAAACCCTTGTATCCATTTCTTATAGTGTTGTAACCTGCTGTACCCATGTGTACCCTTTGTACCCACTGTACCCTGAGCATCCGCTTCATTATTTTTAATTTTAACTTAGAAAATTTCAGCCTTTTAAACCCTTGTATCCATTTCTTAAAGTGTTGTAACCTGCTGTACCCATGTGTACCCTTTGTACCCACTGTACCCTGAGCATCCGCTTCATTATTTTTAATTTTAACTTAGAAAATTTCAGCCTTCTAAACCCTTGTATCCATTTCTTATAGTGTTGTAACCTGCTGTACCCATGTGTACCCACTGTACCCTGAGCATCGGCTACATTATTTTAAATTTTTACTTAGAAAATTTCAGCCTTCTAAACCCTTGTATCCGTTTCTTATAGTGTTGTAACCTGCTGTACCCATGTGTACCCACTGTACCCTGAGCATCAGCTTAATTATTTTTAATTTTAACTTAGAAAATTTCAGCCTTCTAAACCCTTGTATCCATTTCTTATAGTGTTGTAACCTGCTGTACCCATGTGTACCCTTTGTACCCACTGTACCCTGAGCATCCGCTACATTATTTTTAATTTTAACTTAGAAAATTTCTGCCTTCTAAACCCTTGTATCCATTTCTTATAGTGTTGTAACCTGCTGTACCCATGTGTACCCACTGTACCCTGAGCATCGGCTCCATTATTTTTAATTTTAACTTAGAAAATTTCAGCCTTCTAAACCCTTGTATCCATTTCTTATAGTGTTGTAACCTGCTGTACCCATGTGTACCCTTTGTACCCACTGTACCCTGAGCATCCGCTTCATTATTTTTAATTTTAACTTAGAAAATTTCAGCCTTCTAAACCCTTGTATCCATTTCTTATAGTGTTGTAACCTGCTGTACCCATGTGTACCCTTTGTACCCACTGTACCCTGAGCATCGGCTCCATTATTTTTAATTTTAACTTAGAAAATTTCTGCCTTCTAAACCCTTGTATCCATTTCTTACAGTGTTGTAACCTGCTGTACCCATGTGTACCCTTTGTACCCACTGTACCCTGAGCATCCGCTTCATTATTTTTAATTTTAACTTAGAAAATTTCAGCCTTCTAAATCCTTGTATCTATTTCTTATAGTGTTGTAACCTGCTGTACCCATGTGTACCCTTTGTACCCACTGTACCCTGAGCATCGGCTCCATTATTTTTAATTTTAACTTAGAAAATTTCAGCCTTCTAAACCCTTGTATCCATTTCTTACAGTGTTGTAACCTGCTGTACCCATGTGTACCCTTTGTACCCACTGTACCCTGAGCATCCGCTTCATTATTTTTAATTTTAACTTAGAAAATTTCAGCCTTCTAAACCCTTGTATCCATTTCTTATAGTGTTGTAACCTGCTGTACCCATGTGTACCCTTTGTACCCACTGTACCCTGAGCATCGGCTCCATTATTTTTAATTTTAACGTAGAAAATTTCTGCCTTCTAAACCCTTGTATCCATTTCTTACAGTGATGTAACCTGCTGTACCCATGTGTACCCTTTGTACCCACTGTACCCTGAGCATCCGCTTCATTATTTTTAATTTTAACTTAGAAAATTTTAGCCTTCTAAATCCTTGTATCTATTTCTTATAGTGTTGTAACCTGCTGTACCCATGTGTACCCTTTGTACCCACTGTACCCTGAGCATCGGCTCCATTATTTTTTATTTTAACTTAGAAAATTTCAGCCTTCTAAACCCTTGTATCCATTTCTTACAGTGTTGTAACCTGCTGTACCCATGTGTACCCTTTGTACCCACTGTACCCTGAGCATCGGCTCCATTATTTTTAATTTTAACTTAGAAAATTTCAGCCTTCTAAACCCTTGTATCCATTTCTTATAGTGTTGTAACCTGCTGTACCCATGTGTACCCTTTGTACCCACTGTACCCTGAGCATCGGCTCCATTATTTTTAATTTTAACTTAGAAAATTTCAGCCTTCTTAACCCTTGTATCCATTTCTTATAGTGTTGTAACCTGCTGTACCCAAGTGTACCCTTTGTACCCACTGTACCCTGAGCATCGGCTACATTATTTTTAATTTTACTTATATAGATGTTACAGTCTTCCTTCCACTGGAAAGCATCTACTTTTGTTTTCAGTAGGAATAAATAGTGTACCCTTTTTGTAACCTGTTCTCCATACATTTAATAAGGGTGTACCCTAGGGTACAAAAGTATCACCTAAAAACGCAGTACCAATTTCGGGTCAAATTGGCGAATACCTATGCAATTTTAACTTTGAATAAAATGTTTGTTCGTCGGGCTCAATTACGGTTTTTTCCAGATCCTTAAAACGTTTGAGAGCAAGATATAAATAGCTTGTTAAAAGGTGCTTGAAAACTACATTGACCTGAAAAAGTTGTCAAAACATTAAATTTTGAGACTTAAACAGACGACACTTACCTTTGACAATAATTCTACTTAATATCAGAATTACAGCAAAATTTATATCGCATGTTCAAAATTGAAACCGTTTTAAATTATTCGTGTGAAGTTTTCTCCGAGACAGCGCTGAGCAATGGACAAGTTTGGTGGCAAAAGGTTTGTAATGTTTGAAAATCCAATAGATTTTTTTTTCACTTTGTATCAATGATAAATTTCATCAGTTAAATATATGCATACTTTTATTCAGTCACGGACTCTCCAGTGTTAATATTTGTGCGGATGCCTGTCTACCTTCTCCAAGAAAAAGATTTTCACCTTATTATAACTCCTTTGTGAACAAATCTGAAGCCGAAGCTCAGTTTCATCCAAATAATCAGAGTTTAAAGGAACTTGGGGTATTTGTGAAATGATTTTTTTTTTCACTTTTAATCCATGAAAATTATATTCTTAAGTCACCATGTTAAAATTTTTATTTTCAACTAGTTCTAATTTTTTATAACAAAATTCAGAAAGTTGCTGACCCAAGGAGTGTAAATTGTAAGGATCCTGGACAGAAGACCGATGAAGCGGGAGACAGGATGGGTTGGAGTGGGGCAGAGTGGGACCCCGATCTGGGCTACTGCTCCCACAGCACGTGTAGCAGCTCCCACAATGTGGAGCAGGGCACAGAGGTTTGTGTTCACATCAGCAGTATATTGATCATAGCAGGTAACCACTAGATAGTGGTTTTGTATTGAAAATTATATAACACTCATCCTTTCTTGGAGAAAAATGAACAAATATTAATTAATATAAAAACATCAAGAAATCCATTTAATATTAGGCCAAAAAAATAATAGTCTTGTTTCCTGCTACCAGCCTGATAAAAATAGGGTAGGTAGGTCGGAAAATTATTTTATTTTTTTTTTTTTTTTTTCCAATGGTATTTGTTGGATATGAACTATTACAAAACCAAATTAAACATGTCATTGGTCAATATTATCATTTAAAATAAGTAGTGTTTCATGCAAGTCCATATTTAAAACATATATATTTAATGAAATACCACTTGAATATATATTTTTTTCACTTTTGGATCATGAAATTTTCAATTTTCCCTCAAAAACTAAATAAAAACTTTAGGGTCGGGTGCAAAAAAATAGGGTAGGTCGGGTAGCAGGAAACAAGACTACTTTTATTTTTGGCCTTATCATTTGCTATATAGTTTTGTATGTCATAAGTTTTATGGACTTGCTGTTCTTTTTGAATGTCAGTCCTATCAGTCAGATTGTTCAGATGTTGAGTATGAGGGTGTTGTAGAAGGAGCAGAGAAAATGGAAGATGTGGTGCAACAGTTTGGTATGATTAATAAATATTTTATGTTCTGATAACTGAACCTAACTTGCCTGTTCAAATTAGACTTTTTTGATATTTTCATTTCTGTGCAATGTTTTTGCTTCAAAATTTCTTTTAAAAAATATCTCCTCAGAGTTTTTAAAACTTAGATATATGGCAAATAAAAAAAGTTTATTTCAAAGTCAAAGGTGCAAATATGGGTATGACTGATTTGATTTTGAACCGAGATCCATCAGAAACAATAGATTTATTTTGCCTTGTATTCTAGGGAAATATTTCCAAGGACAGTACCGGCAAGTGATTCATCACATCAAGTCTTCTATGCAGGGTATTTTGACTGAACAACAAGAACATTTGAGGCACATTATTAACTTTGCAACCAAGTCATATCAGGTTTGGGTGATTTTGATATATATTCATTCGCAGTATATTTGTCAAATCTATTAACATCGGATAATCATGTGAAAAATATTTTAGAAAGTAAATATTTCTGATATACTTTTTTAATTTATTTATAAAAGATATCAAATATTAAGTAATTTTTTTTTACAGAGTTCCAGTGGAAATCCTCTCACTGAGACGAGTTCTCTCCCTTGCCTGACAGCAGATGAACATTACGGGAGTGAGTTACCGGCACCAGCCAACACAGCATGCAATCTGGAGGAGATGGATGCATTACCTCCCCTGGATGATATCGAATTCTCCGATTTCTATTGGATGCCAGACTCATCAAATTCCCACAACAACTTGACTGCTCACAGTTTGTACTGTTTATAGATTATGTCATTTAATATCTTTAACATGGCAAGAAGTGAAAAAAAATTTGTTGACCAATTTTCTTTGCATGAAATTTGGAAGTTACATTGCCTCTCCCTTTTCTTGGTCTGCCACTTCATATTGATTGTGCTGTCTGATATTCTATAAAACATGGAAAATCTTTTTTTTTTTCATATTTAATTAATACCAGCAGAAGGTTATATACATGTATACAATTACAATGTATTATGTAGATAAAAATGATATTTCAGGTTTTCCAGAGAGTCAAGAACAACATAATATAATGTAAATATAATACTACAATACATTTAATCAATTTTTTTTTCTAATTATAAAGAATATAATAAAGTTTCCACATAAAATCTTATCACATTTAATGTAATTTTCTACTTTAAGATAATTTTTTTTGTCATATTCAAACACAAGAGTCTGAAGTTTTTATCGTTAAAAAAATATTCCACCCTCAACTAGAATTTTTTTTTAATTTTTTTTGGATTTATTTCATGATAAAATCTTCAGACTCCTGCGATTCATTCTATTTCAGGTTGGACAATCAAACTGAAGAGAACCCCAAGGAAAAGTTCTTACTCCAGGTTTTATCTTTGACTTGTGGAGTGAACAACCTTCTGCAGAAAACAGAGTTCAAAACCTGACAAAAACTTTATCACTCAGAATATTTATCTTCTCTTAGCACAGTGAAAATCTTTCTGTCATTACGACTGCTCTCCACTGGCCAATGCTTTTGTTTTTATCTAGTTATTTTATTGGCGCACTGGAGCAGACAAAAATAATTTCCTTTATAGAATATACTGTGTATTAAAGTAATGACAAATTGTGTACACCATTAATAATCTCACTTTTACAAAATGTTTATTGCAATTGCTGATATTCTGTATTATATCATGACGAGTTCTACTAAAAATAAAGAAACATAAACAAGGTCAACAAATGCTACAAACTTAACGTGTTACGAGCTTTTGAAATTTCCCGCCACAGTGTGTAAAATTGAAAGTAGAGTAATCTCCCTTGCATTGTGATATGTTTCACTCTGCTCAAACTTGGTTGTGTTTTACAGCAACGTTTATCCGGTGTGCCTCTACGGTAGGTAATTCATGACATTAAAGACAATATATTTATTGTTCATGATAACTATTTACAGCTTACAGGCAAAAATTATGATAAATCTTGTGCATGTAAAATGACCCAATGTTTGTTTATCATGTTTTTCGATCTGTTTACGTTCTAAATTATGTACTCGAAGTTGCCATTGTGTGATTACTGACCTATAAACACATACATGTACTATTAGTACATGTAGTATGTAGGTCCTTGGTTAAATATAAGAGACGTTTTCATCTGACTGATGCAATGAAATTCATTGCATGATCGATCATTTTCGATATTCTATCTATTTTAAATGTGACAGTCCTGTGTGTCATGATGTTGATCTACATGCATGTACAAAAATGTTCAGTTCTTGCAGAAACAAATATTTTAGCAGCCCCAAGATTTCTTTAACATGCTACGGATGAACTTGGGCCGTAGCGATGGTTTCTATTGCTAAAGGAGGGCAACTTACACTAGAAAATGTGACAATTTCCTAGTGCTCCTTTTTACAATCTAATTAAAATTAGATGTTAGATCCGCTCGCATATTAGTGAAGTCTAGAGAGTATGCGAGCAGATCTAACATCTAATTTTAATTAGATTGCCCTCTTTATAGCTGCAACAAATGATGAATTAAGGTGAACAATATGTTTAAGGGAGGGGACCAGACCAGCATCTAAAAGAGAAACAGGGCAAATCTCCCCCCCCCACCCCACCCCGCCCTCGTCCATTGTATAAGGGCATACGAACAAAGCTATCAGAGAGCCCTGTAGTTGGCTATGCAAGGTTCATCTCCATAATACATGTAATATCCTCCATTATTTCCTATCTAGCTTGTAACACGAGCTTTGATTGGTTACAAAGTCGGGTGTAAATATCCGTGCACCCAACTTGAGCCGGGTGTAAATAAAACGTGACGTCACAATGCTTACATTCTCTATGATAAAAACCAAATAAAATGACGTCACGATGCATTGTAGTACGTAGTTATTTAATCGATACATCGAGACACACTCTGATGTTTACAAGGCATTTTTATGGGTACAAAGGAAATAAATTCGTTATCCAGGTCCAATCAAGGGTGTACGGGGATTTACCCCGGGTTTTATTCCATACACCCTTCGGCCTCAGGGTGTATGAAATAGAACCCGGGGTAAATCCCCGTACACCCTTGATTGAACCTGGATAACTAATATAATACATGTAATATCTTCCTTCACTGTTCATTTCAACATTGAACAACAGATAATTTTTAATTTCAAGGACATTGTCACATGTAGCACCAAATGTTACAGGAATTTAAAAAAAAAATGTGATGAGGTGGACCCATGGGGGTTTGAAACTGCCAGGGCTGTCAAAATTCTTAATGTACCAAATAAATGTTGCTAATTAGTACATGTATTTGATCATGTTGATGCTGCACACACAAAATAAAAAATAATCTTTTAAATTTTATTATCCTAGTCCTGCAACAAAATTGGAGGGATATAGTTAATAACACTCATTTGAGTGTGTTACAATGTGGGTGGGTTTATGTAAGTAATAATTTACACATAATTTATATGGGTAACAATGTCATTTGTTAGCTTTCTTACGAGGGGATACCCCACTTTGTGGTGCCCTTGTTAAACATTATCACATGAACTTTTACAGATGTCAGGGATGATGAGAGCGGTGACCTTTGAACCCGGAGGTCCAGAGAAACTTGGGATTGCTTCGGTACCAATTCCACAGCTAAGAGAAAAGGAGGTTTTGCTCAAAGTGTACGCCACAGCAATTAACAGGGCAGACACTCTACAGGTATATATATGCTTGGAGCTTATGAATCCAGTTTAAACAATGTGTATTAAAGTTATACATTAATCTACATCTGAGATACAGGATGGATGCTAATGTTTGTTGTCTGTTACAGAGGAGAGGTATGTACCCAGCCCCCGCGGGAGAATCAGAAATCCTGGGCCTGGAGGCTGTGGGGATCATTGAGAAGCTAGGACCGGGGTGTGTCAAGTCCTGGAAGACGGGCGACAGAGTTATGGCTCTCCTCCCAGGTGTGTAGCTGGACAAGATAATTACTGTAGAAGTACATTTTTCCACGTGGTATTAATTTATGCTACGTATGCGGTAAAAAATTTTCCACGTAAATTTGTCCAAGCGTACTTAATATAAATGTAAGGCATATATAGTGACAGTCTTAATAAAACCGCGTAATTTTCTACCGGCGGATTGAACAGAAATTAAGATTGCGCGGAATTATGACCCTGTGAAAAAAAGTACACCTACAGTATTCTGCACTTCATCCAAACTTTTACTGAAATCATTTGGTAGGCTATTTGCATTTTTAAAAGCTTTATCCCAAATGTCATATTTGCCACACAAAAAAATAGCTATGGATACATGGATCTATTTATAATACTGTAGACTACTTTTTTCCACGGGGTCATAATTCCATGGAATCTCAATATCTGTTTATTCCAGGGGTTGAAAATTACGCGGATTTCTGAGACTGTCACTATATGCCTTGCATTTATATCAAGTACACTTGGACGAATTTCCGTGGAAAATGTGTGACCGCATAAATAGTGTAAATTAAAATACCACGTGAAAAAAAGTACTTCTACAGTATATTAAACAAGTACATCAAAACCTCATGCTTAAACATCATACTTCATTCACATGCTGTATTATGTAAATCTTAAATTGATAATTATTCTTTTCTATATTCAGGTCAAAAGGTCTGAAGTCACTTGTCAATTGTTGTTCAGCCAGTACGTATTATAAAATCTTATTATTTAGGGGGAGGAAATGCAGAATATGTAGCCAGTAGGGAGGAGTTGTTAATGCCTGTCCCTGACAACATGAAGTTTACACAAGCAGCTGCCATTCCTGAAGTCTGGCTTACAGCATTCCAGCTCCTGTTTACTGTAGGTAAGTCTAGCTTTAAAGCATAAATCATGTTCAATCTAATTGAAATTAGATGTTAGATCCACTCTCATACTCACTACACTAACGTCTAACAACATCCCACAAAGGGTCACGTCAAATGTCAAAATCTGAACAACTCTAGACTTATTAGCTTCAACACATATGCAGTGATTTTGCAGGCGATGATTTGATTGGTTGATAGAATTTGACCTCTGATGTGACCCTTTATGGGATGTTGTTAGATGTTAGTGTATCAAGTATGTGAGTGGATCTAACATCTAATTATAATTAGATTGAGGTCATGTTTTACCATTTAAGCTGATCAATGATGTTAAGTCTTATAGCTTACAACATTGGCCTCAGCTCTTGTTCACTGTATGCAAGTCTGACTTGCAGCTTTCCACTTCCTATTCACTGTTCTATATCTGACTCTCAGTTTTCCTGCTCTTTTTCATTGCTCACTAATAGAAGCCTGGCGTAGGAGAAACACTAAATATAGCTTTATTTGCAGGTAAACTTAAGAAGAATGACACTGTTCTGATTCATGCGGGGGGTAGTGGGGTTGGCACAGCAGCTGTACAGCTCTGTCGTCAGTACGGGGCTCGAGCCCTAGTGGTGGCAGGCTCACAGGAGAAGATTGACTTCGCCAAATCTCTGGGGGCAGAGGACGGATTTAATTATAAGGAGACAGAGTTTGAACCCAAGGTGTTGGAGCACACTCAAGGTACATATGGCAGTTATTTATCTCTTTGTCACACAATTTGTTTTCAAAAATTTCCTTCTTTGATCTCCTCCATTTTCCAGATTTTTTGTGTGATACTTCAACTTTAATAGATTCATAGTTTTTATGCCCCCCTTCGAAGAAGGGAGGGCATATTGCTTTGCTGCTGTCTGTCGGTCCACTTAGTTTCCGTTCATTTTCTTCACAACCGTTGCACATACTGAAATGAAATTTGGTATACAGATATATCAGATACTGTTTTGGGTAAGGTCGCGTCATTTTTGACAGAGTTATGCCCCTTGGACTTATAAAAATTCCAATCATTTGCAGTTTCCGTTCATTTTCTTTGCAGAGGTTGCACATACTGAAATGAAATTTAGTATACAGATATATCAGAGGAATATCTAGCTGAAGTTCTGTTTTGGATACCATTGCGCCATTTTTAGCTCACCTCAACGAAGTTGGGGGGAGCGTATGTGATACCCTCGGCGTCGGCGTCCCGGGTTAAGGTTAAGTTTTTTGGAGCAGTTTTCTTTTTAAGTACTTCTATGTCCTATATTGATTAGACATGCATGGAAGATGTTTCTAGTGTGTTTCATTGTACCAGTCAAAGTTTCAGATGCTGCAATTTCAGCAAAGGAATGACCAGGTTAATGTTTTTGGTGCAGGTTAACATTTTTGGTGCAGTTTTTAGTGTAGGTCTCATTTCCGAGTAACTATAAGCCCTATGTTGACCAAACTTACATGGATGGTACATCTTAGGATGCATACTACCAGACTTGCTTCGGATGCTGAATCTGACCTACATTCTCCGGTTGAGTGAACAGGTTAAAGTTTTTGGTGCAGGTTTCATTTTGCAGATACTATGAGCCCTATAATGACCAAACTTGCATGGATGGTACATCTTAGGATGCATTCTACTAGACTTGCTTCTGTTGCTGAATCTGACCTACATTTTCCGGTTGAGTGAACAGGTTAAAGTTTTTGGTGCAGGTTTCATTTCCAAGTTTCTTTGAGACATATAATGACCAAACTTGCACGGATGGTACATCTTAGGATGCATACTACCAGTCTTGCTTCTGTTGCTGAATCTGACCTACATTTTCCGGTTGAGTGAACAGGTTAAAGTTTTTGGTGCAGGTTTCATTTGCAAGTTACTATGAGACATATAATGACCAAACTTGCATGGATGGTACATCTTAGG